TGGAGGCAGTTTAGTTTTTTTTTTTTAAATATTTGACAAATTAAGGAAGCTATTCTTGAGGTTTGCCACTTAATCTGAATGATTAATTTTCTTCCAAAAAGCAAAATCTCTATTTTATTTATGTTTAATTAGGTAATTACTGTGTCTCTTCTGGTACCCCCCCCCGTAAAACCACAAAACTTGTTTTTACATGTTGTTCTTTTACTTGTTGTTTTTTTTTAAATTGAGCCAAATTTAAGGTAAAGGTCTCTCGTGGCACCTGCTTCATATTTACACCACAGTGGTGTCTTTTCACCGAACTGTCTCCAAGAAAGCAGATAAGCTCATTTCCCAAACAATTTATTTCACTTTTCTTTTAACCCAGAATTTAAAACTTTAATTTATGCTGTAGCAAGATAACCAGCTGCTGCCACTGACTGCATATTTACCAAACAGAGAAAAATTATTAACAATCTTTTAATCAAACTGTTACTGAGAAACAGAATAAAAACTGTTCCTTTAAACTCATCTGCTTGGCTAAATTAAGGCTGCAACTATATTGATTATATTCTCAATTACCTGATTAGGTGTTTGTCTATAAAATGCTAAAAAAAAATTGTGAAAAATGTTGATTTTCTTTAAGTCCAAGATGACAAATGTCTGGTTTTGTCCACAAGTCAAAGATATTCAAAAAATCCACAGATTTAAGAAGTTTGAATGTAAGAATTTTGACCTTTTTTTTCCCCCCTCAAAAAATCTTTCAAGTTAATTAATAAATTATCAAAACAGCTGGCATTAGCTGTTTATCAATCAGTCAACGCATTTCCAGGCTAAGTACTACTAGAGTTGAAGCTGTGTAGCTGCTTCTTCACACTGATTGTTGTGCGCAGCAACACAACTCAAACGGTGAAGTTGTGTGGTCGTGGAATAAGTCCAATTTGTCAAGACAGAAGACATGAATACTGAGACAATTACAAGAGTTTCGTTTGAAACATACAGTTTCTGAAGTTGCTTTTCAAAGCTCCCACAGATGGATTGGAGCTTCTGGCTGGAGCTGTGTGGGTGGACACATAAATGTAACAGCGTGGCTCCACATTCCCAGCTCCCCTTTCCTCCCTGAGCTGTGGATGCATGTACCCGTCTCCGGCTGGCACCGACTTGTTTCACATTACAGTGGACAGATTGTCATAAAAATCAGTCTCCACTGTCTCCCACATCCATCTTCTGCTGCCTCTTGTCACTCATGCTCTGAAATGCATCGACTCCCTGATAGCAGGTCTGTGAAGAGTCACACTCGCGTTGTGTGTGGACGTGGGGATAAGTGGAGCCATTATGAATCACTCGCATCTCATGAATACCATCTCACTTTAAGCATTTACACTGAATAAACATCATAGTGGAGGTGCGTGGTTTTTGTCTGCTCTGGTGTTCTCATAGGCTATTTTAAGCAGGTGTTTGGCCCTTGAGCATGCCCTGCTTCATCGTCTGTTTTACTCTCAATGGGGCGATGCTTTTTAAAATCAGAACAGAACTTCATGCTATATTCAGAAAGTCTTAACACTAGTTATTGAGACCATAAACTCATTAAAACAATGTTTACTGAGATAACAAAGTAAGCAAAAGGTAGGAATGATTTCTCATGGACTTCTGTACAATCAGATTTCTGAGGAGTCTCCCCCTGCTGGCTGTTAGAGAGACTGCACATTGAAGGCACATTTGCATTGACTTCACTTTCCAGACCCGGGAGCTTCTATTCTGTGTATCAAACATGAATTATTGTTCTAAACGGGTTGTTTAAAATGTATGACTTGCCAAAAAAATACAAATAAATGCACAGACTCTCTGATAACAGGTTTTTAAAGAGTCAGACTTACGTGTGGATGTAAGGATAATTGTGACTGTTACCAGTGAAAAAATAACTTGCTGCTCTGCTTCATCATCTGTTTTACTCTAAATTAGACAATAATTTTCAGAATGAATATCCTCCTGTAGTCAAAAAGTTTTTAAACTAGTGATTGAGCCCATCATCTCATGAGTAGAATGTTTACTGAGGTAACAAATCAAGTGAAAAATAGGGTAATTTTGTCATAGATTTCAAGACAATCAAATTCTTTTAGCATCCAGAGGAGTCGCCCCCTGCTGGCTGTTAGAAGGAATGCAGGTTGAAGGTACAATTGCATTGGCTTCATTTGTCAGTCCCTCCATCTTTACATGCAATCTGTGTATTGAACATAAATTGTTGTTCTAAACAGGTTATTTATAATGTATGAGATGTCCAGAAACACTCCCTGATAACAGGCTTGAAATGAGTCAGGCTTGTTTTGTGGGTAGACGTAGTGACGTGGCGCTATTATCAGTGGAAAAAATTATTTTGCCTCTGCCTCTCAGTTTGATCTTTAAAAATGTAGCTCATTAACCATCACAGCGGCTCCCTGTAGAATCATCTTATGAATACAGTGTCACTTTAAGTATTTACGCTGTATTTTGCTCTAAATGGGACACTGATTTTCAAAATGAACATCCTACTGTATTCAAAAGTTTTTACACTATTTATTGAGACCATAATCTTATTAGGGAATTGTTTACTGAGGTAATAAATCAGATGAGAAGTAGAGCAATTTTCTTATAGACTTCTGTACAATCAGATTTCTAAGGAGTCGCCCCCTGCTGGCTGTTAGAAAGACTACAGGCAAAACACATTTGAATTGCCTTAGACTTTCCAGACCCGTCAGCTATGTCTATCTTTTCGTCAGTGTATCAAACAGTAATTATTATCTTAAACAGGTTATTTGCAATGTATGAAATGTCAGAAAACACTCCCTGATAGACGGAGTGATAAGTGGAGCTATTATCCATGAAAAAATAATTTTGCTTCTGCCTCGCAGTTTGAACTTTGAAAATGTGGTTTGCTGACGTAGCCTGTCCATCACGGCCGCTTCCTGTAACAGCAATTCATGAAAAGCGTGTCACTTTTAAGTATTTACTCTGACTAAACATCATCGTAGCGTATCCATCTAAATGAGGCGCATGTTTGTTTTTTTTCCTGCTTTGTTATTTACTTTGGCTATCTCAGGCAGGTGCTTGGCTCTCAGTGTGCCTGTATCCCTCCTGAGCAGTCACAGTGGTCTGCCGAGCTCTCTTAGCCTAATACCATCCAGCACTCGGCTTTACAAATGAGGCCCATGCAGTTACCAAGGATACCAATTCGTCTGAAACATCAGACCCGTTAGAGTCCGTACAATGATCCTCTCCAGCCCTCGACTCCTTGTCACTGTGCTTCTCCTCTACTTTACTCACACCTTCCACTCCTGCGCTCTCGTCGCATTTCTCTCTCTCAGCGAGCTAAAAAACGCAGCCGAGGAGCTAAAGAGATGAGCGAAGGAGTCGTGTTTGTCAAGGACGGTATATGTAATGGAGGGAGAGGGGAAGAACGCAGATATGTGGAGGAAAGTTGTGTAGGAAAAATTCTATAGGAAGCAACTTTCGTAATTAACATCATGCGAGCTACTACAAAGCTGTTGCGTCCTGATCTTCCATTCTGAGCTTAACCTTGCTTCCCTCTTGCATTTACATGATATAACAGCTGCAGTTACATGGCACTCAGTGTGCATACATTAACCACCACATGTAATGGAGTTAAAATCTCAGCACGAAACAACACATTATCATATGGGGGTCAATGTGTGCCGCATGTTCGGGGACGCAACGCTGTTTTGTTGAATAAATTACCATTTACAATGACGAGTTATTTATTTTGTCGTTGATGCTTGCATAAATTATCTCGCCACATATCAATTTAAATAAGCAATGAGCTAAAATGAAGTATTCTGAAAGCCACCTTTTACTTAAAAAACGTGTTTTCTTTGTTGTTACTCGACTTGAACGTGCAGAATGATGTGTGTACAGATCCACAAGGCTGGTTTTATATTCAGTATATATGTGAGTTAGACAAGTTTGATGCTAAGCTTGAAACTTTCAGTGCACACCCAAGGGGAACTGAAGGATTTGGAGAATACACCTGACTGTGATTTTCCAGAGAGAAAATGAAATTGTGAATGAAGTTGGATTTGCAAAGTCAAGCTTTAGCTAAACATTTTGAGTCTAATAGATTCAAAAAGCATAGGCAGTTAAAGATAATAATTGCTTCTAACATTTATATATTGCTTTTTTTACCATTGACCTACAACAATCAGACATAGACCAGCCATCACAAAAGCTGAAATTGTATTTAGTTAAGGAAATACAGTAATATCAGTAAAAATGAAAACTATAACATATTTTGTGAATTGCAGATTGCATGTTTAAATTCGTGATTTGGAGTCCGATAACTGTTTGGCTCCATGACAGAGACGTCTTGTATCCAGCAGTTGAACATTTGAAATAACAAATATTTGCCAGCTTGTTTTTTTTTTTTTAAATAATCACACATGACGAGCAAGAGGTGGATCTAAATGAGAAATTGAGGAGAATTGCATGATCTGCTTTATTCTCTATTTTACTTTAAATAAGACCATAAATTCCAAAAAGAACATCATGCTTCCTTATGAAGGTCTTCAAATTAATGATCAACACCATAAACTTATTAAGAAAATGTTGACTGAGGTACCAAATCAAGTGAGAAGTAGGGTGACTTTCTCATAATCTCCTGCACAATCAGACTTCTTTTTTGCAACCGGAAGAGTCGCCCCCTGCTGGCTGTTAGAAGGAATGCAAGTTGATGGTGCTTCCACATTTTTTTTGGAAACTAAGTCCATTTTTTACATGCAGTCTGTGCATCAAACACAAATTAATATGCCAAACATACTTATAATGTGCAAAATGTCAAAACATACAAATAAATGCCTGTTGCAATTTCTTAGAACTCAAGGAGGCTTCAGAATAGTTTGATTTGTTATTTGACGTCACCACAATACGAAAACACAGCTGGAACAGAGAATGTTTGATACTTTTTGCACAGCAACACAACACTTATTTATCGTTGATTGGCTGATGACCACTGACACTGATACCTGCGTCCTCAG